CAGGCGATGATCGCTGCCGGGGCATCCGCCTTCGTTCGAAGGAGAGAGACGGATGAGTACCGACTGTGATCATCAACAAGCACGAGAAGGTAGCGATGGCCCTGGCGAGTGGGAGAGGGATTAGGGCCCCATAGGTCCATGTGAACAAGATCAAGTGGCTGCGCAGCAGCGGAGGGGGAGCTCCGGTGCGGCTGCTGCTTGAGCTTGCTCTGAACGCAGACGGTGCAGGGGGGTGCAGGGGATTTGGGGAGGGGAGGGAGGGAGGAGGGGAGACCGTGGAGGAGACCGGAGGAGACAGAGGAGCGCAGAGTAGCGAAGTTGGGGTGGCCTAGCCTGTGATGGAGGAGGATGGTGGGGTGGGAGAGGGAGCGACAGGAACAGTCAGAGTCAGGAGGGCGGGGGGGGAGGGGTGGGTTAGTGGGAGGAAGGGGAGGGGGGGGGGGGGAAGGAGGGGGGGGGAGGCAACTTGGAAGGTGAGGGGGCGGGGAACCCGAAGGGTGTACAGACGGGAGCGAGGACAATAGGGAATACGGGCGAGAAAACGACCTGTGGAGGTTTGGTATAGGTCACAATGGTTAGCACCACCTGGGATGAGAGTGGTGATCATGGCTTGTTGGAGGGACCTTTGGGAGAGGAGGTTAGTACGAAGGGAGGGAATGTGGAGACCGGTGACAGTACCTGAGGGAAAGAGAGGACAGGGAAGGGTGGAGGTGTTGTGACAGGGGATGGAAAAACTGCTATCAGCGCCGAGGAGGGAGGTTGGTGTGGGGAGAGGGCGCAGTGTACCAGCGTCGCGAAGGACAGTGTCAGTGGCTCCACTGTCCAGAACGAAGTCAATGGTGGAAGAAGGTGAGACAGAGTACTGGAACGAAGTTTCATTAGCAGAAGAAGGGTACATGGGAGATGCAACAGATTCAGGTTGACCTAATAAACCAACAAAACCAGAGGAAGGGAAAGCGGTCACACTGCCACCTGCAGACGGCGCCGGGGATGCACCCGAGAGATGGGCTGCAGAGGCAGCACTCCCAGCAGTCCAGGTAGGAAAGTGCTGTTGCTGGGAAACCGGAGGAGGAGGGAGGAGGGGCAGTTGCGGCTGGAGGTCGAGCTGCTGCTGGAGATGCTGGAGCTGCTGCTGGAGCTGAGAGAGGAGAAGCTGCTGCCCATACTGCTGTGACCCCTGCTGCTGATTCCCAAGCAACTGCTGCTGCTGTTGCTGCTGCTGGTGCTGCTGCTGGGGAGGGGCGAGGGCCTGGTGAGCGTGGGTGGAGGAGGGAGGTTCATAGAGGGGAGAGGAACGGACCTCAAGGGGAGTGGGGCGAGGGTTGAGGGCGGACCAGCGAGGAGGGGTGCCGGTGTTGCCACGGGCAAACCACTCATCACTGAGTGCCTTGAAGCACGTCTCAGTGGCATGGGTAGTTTGGCCGCAGCGCTGTCCCTGAGTGGGACCGTAGCGAGGCAGATACTGACAAGGAGGAAAGGCAGCTGCCGTACCACGACCCGCACCACTGCTGCCAGCACCACCGCGACCTACTGATCCCCCTCGTCCACCCCCACGCGCACCACCACGCCCACCCCCACGCCCACCGCCACGGCCACCCCGGTTGCTGCGCGACTGGGCTGCTGCGGCTGTGGAGGAAGAGTGGCGAAGGATCTCAGCTTCGGTGGTGATAATCCACTGAGCGACTTCGGCAGGGGTGTGGTGCTTGGAGATAAGCTGCATGTAAGCAAGCTTGTGAGCGTCGAAGGCAGGTGTGAGGCCCTCGAGGAGGTGGCAGCAGATGACGGTGTCCGGGTACACCACATCGAGTGCTGCAAGGCGCCGAGAAAGGTCTAAGACACGGCGAGTGAAAGCAGCTGCGCCAGAAGTGGAATCCATGGAGAGAGTTCCAAACTCCTGGATAAGGGCGTAAAGAGTGGCAACGTCCTGCCGATCGAAAAGGTCGACCAGCAGTCGCCACAGGTGGGAGGAGGAGGTAGGTGAGAGCTCGCGTTTGAGGGAGGAGGGGATGGTGGCGAGAAGAATGGCAAGCGCACGTGACACGTCGATCAGCAACCCGCCAGGCAGTAATTTTCGTGGTGTAGTCTGCAAGTTCTGCAGTGTAGGTGTCCAGGTCCTCCTGGTACTTGTTGTAGCGGGCAGCGGCGTCGTCATAGATGCGCCTGTCATCCTCGTAACGCAGTTGCAGGCGCAGGTGCTCTTGGAGATTGGTGCGGTAGGTGCGAATGGCGGTTTCCGAGCTCTGCGGGTCGTTCACATTCGGCGCAAAGGCGGGAGGATCACCGGGGGGAGAGGGCTCGGCGCCAGGGTGGGCAGGGGCAGGTCCAGTAGGAGCGGTGGGGGCCGCGGGCTGAAGTCCACCGCCTTCCTGAAAGACAACCGAGCGAAGGTTGTAGCCGCTGACCACAACAGAGGAGAGGAGCACCTCGACGGAATGAGCATAAGAGTGCCAATTAGCAGCGGAGTTGTCAGGCAGCAACTCGAGTGCATCAACAGTGGCAAGGTCGACGGAAGAATCGGACGACGATGCCATAGAGATGAGGGTGGGTCGAGGCTAGGGCAGGAGGAGGATGGTGTGAGGGTACCGTTGCCAGTGCTGCTGCTGGCCCTGCTGCCCGTGCCGCTGCTGGTTCTGCTGCTGGTGCCGCTGCGGATGCTGCTGCGGGTAGGATGGGAGGAGGAGGAAGGGAGGAGCGGAGGGTGAGGAAGGTGGAGGAGGAGGAGGGCGATGCTATGGGGAATGCAAGGGGGAAGGGTGCTGCTGGTGGTGCCGCTGCAGGTGCTGCTGCTGGTAGGATGGGAGGAGGAAGGGAGGAGCGGAGGGTGGGTTGGGTGGAGGAGAAGGAGGGCGATGCTATGGGGGAGGGGCAGATCTGGGCGCGCGGAGGGCAGATCTGGGCGCGTGGAGGGCGGATCTGGGCGGGCGGAGTGCAGATCTGGGTGCGGGAGGAGGAGATCTGGTGGCGCGGAATCCAGATCTGGGCGCGGAATGATCAGATCTAGGCGCGGGAGGAGTAGATCTGGTCGCTGGAGGTGCAGATCTGGGCGCTGGAGGTGCAGATCTGGGCGCTGGAGTTGCAGATCTGGGCGCTGGAGGTGCAGATCTGGGCGTTGGAGGTGCAGATCTGGGCGCTGGAGGTGCAGATCTGGGCGCTGGAGGAGGAGATCTGGTGGCGCGGAATCCAGATCTGGGCGCGGAAACAGGGTGTTCGTTCACCACGAACAGGGTGTTCGTTCACCACGAACAGGGTGTTCGTTCACCACGAACAGGGTGTTCGTTCACCACAAACAGGGTGTTCGTTCACCACGAACAGGGTGTTCGTTCACCACGAACAGGGTGTTCGTTCACCACGAACAGGGTGTTCGTTCACCACGAACAGGGTGTTCGTTCACCACGAACAGGGTGTTCGTTCACCACGAACAGGGTGTTCGTTCACCACGAACAGGGTGTTCGTTCACCACGAACAGGGTGTTCGTTCACCACGAACAGGGTGTTCGTTCACCACGAACAGGGTGTTCGTTCACCACGAACAGGGTGTTCGTTCACCACGAACAGGGTGTTCGTTCACCACGAACAGGGTGTTCGTTCACCACGAACAGGGTGTTCGTTCACCACGAACAGGGTGTTCGTTCACCACAAACAGGGTGTTCGTTCACCACGAACAGGGTGTTCGTTCACCACGAACAGGGTGTTCGTGCACCACGAACAGGGTGTTCGTTCACCACAAACAGGGTGTTCGTTCACCACGAACAGGGTGTTCGTTCACCACGAACAGGGTGTTCGTGCACCACGAACAGGGTGTTCGTTCACCACGAACAGGGTGTTCGTTCACCACGAACAGGGTGTTCGTTCACCACGAACAGGGTGTTCGTTCACCACGAACAGGGTGTTCGTTCACCACGAACAGGGTGTTCGTTCACCACGAACAGGGTGTTCGTTCACCACGAACAGGGTGTTCGTTCACCACGAACAGGGTGTTCGTTCACCACGAACAGGGTGTTCGTTCACCACGAACAGGGTGTTCGTTCACCACAAACAGGGTGTTCGTTCACCACGAACAGGGTGTTCGTTCACCACAAACAGGGTGTTCGTTCACCACAAACAGGGTGTTCGTTCACCACGAACAGGGTGTTCGTTCACCACGAACAGGGTGTTCGTTCACCACAAACAGGGTGTTCGTTCACCACGAACAGGGTGTTCGTTCACCACGAACAGGGTGTTCGTTCACCACGAACAGGGTGTTCGTTCACCACGAACAGGGTGTTCGTTCACCACGAACAGGGTGTTCGTTCACCACGAACAGGGTGTTCGTTCACCACGAACAGGGTGTTCGTTCACCACGAACAGGGTGTTCGTTCACCACGAACAGGGTGTTCGTTCACCACGAACAGGGTGTTCGTTCACCACGAACAGGGTGTTCGTTCACCACGAACAGGGTGTTCGTTCACCACGAACAGGGTGTTCGTTCACCACGAACAGGGTGTTCGTTCACCACGAACAGGGTGTTCGTTCACCACGAACAGGGTGTTCGTTCACCACGAACAGGGTGTTCGTTCACCACGAACAGGGTGTTCGTTCACCACGAACAGGGTGTTCGTTCACCACGAACAGGGTGTTCGTTCACCACGAACAGGGTGTTCGTTCACCACGAACAGGGTGTTCGTTCACCACGAACAGGGTGTTCGTTCACCACGAACAGGGTGTTCGTTCACCACGAACAGGGTGTTCGTTCACCACGAACAGGGTGTTCGTTCACCACGAACAGGGTGTTCGTTCACCACGAACAGGGTGTTCGTTCACCACGAACAGGGTGTTCGTTCACCACGAACAGGGTGTTCGTTCACCACGAACAGGGTGTTCGTTCACCACAAACAGGGTGTTCTTTCACCACAAACAGGGTGTTCGTTCACCACGAACAAGGTGTTCGTTCACCCGCATTACACCCAACACAGCTACCTCAACAAGTCCTTCTAACTATGCATGCATGCCCTTGCCGCCATCATGGGGTGGTGGTGCCACCGCACTTCACCGGACCAACAGGTGCTGGAGGGCAACACACCCAACGTGGATGTCACGGCACCAGGAGCAATTCTCGCCCTTGCCATGATGTACCTTCAGGTGGACTCCTGCTCCTTAGGTTGTAAACAAATTTCTCCATTCTGTGTTAAAGGCATCCAAAAGGCAGCTCCCTCTGTACGCTTGCTCCCCTCCTGTACAATTTCCTTCTTCCTCCCCACCCCCCCCCCCCCCCCCCCCACCGACATCCCTTCCCCTGTAACCCATCCTCCCCGCCGGCCATCCACCCCCCCCACCGACGCGCACCCCGGCAGTCCAACAACGAGGCGGTGGCGGCGCGCCTGGCCCCGCCAGCAACGCACTTCGCCCTCGAGTTTGTGCGCCCCGACTTCATCCTCCTGCGCGTCCTCGCGTGCTCCCTCATCCTCTGGGACAGGTGCGCTCATCCTCTGGGACAGGTGCGCTCATCCTCTGGGACAGGTGCGCTCATCCTCTGGGACAGGTGCGCTCATCCTCTGGGACAGGTGCGCTCATCCTCTGGGACAGGTGCGCTCATCCTCTGGGACAGGTGCGCTCATCCTCTGGGACAGGTGCGCTCATCCTCTGGGACAGGTGCGCTCATCCTCTGGGACAGGTGCGCTCATCCTCTGGGACAGGTGCGCTCATCCTCTGGGACAGGTGCGCTCATCCTCTGGGACAGGTGCGCTCATCCTCTGGGACAGGTGCGCTCATCCTCTGGGACAGGTGCGCTCATCCTCTGGGACAGGTGCGCTCATCCTCTGGGACAGGTGCGCTCATCCTCTGGGACAGGTGCGCTCATCCTCTGGGACAGGTGCGCTCATCCTCTGGGACAGGTGCGCTCATCCTCTGGGACAGGTGCGCTCATCCTCTGGGACAGGTGCGCTCATCCTCTGGGACAGGTGCGCTCATCCTCTGGGACAGGTGCGCTCATCCTCTGGGACAGGTGCGCTCAAGCCTCATGCAGAATGGGAACCCACATGTATTCAGCTAGCATGAATGTGATTTTTGTTGTATGTGTGATGGGGTATACGCCACGCTGGCCATGAGTAAGGGCCGTGGGGTGGTCCAAGCTGTGACCCAAGCCGTGGTTCAAACCATGGAAGAGAAGAAATGGTTTACCTTTTCTTTCCTCAAGCCCAAAATCCGCCTTTCCTCCTCCCCATTGGTCAACTCCTACCCCCCCACATCCCTAACCCCCATTCCCACCTTATCCCTCGTCCCCACCCCACCCCGCCCCAACCCACCCACCACTGCAGCGTGCAGCCATCGGAGGAGTGGGTGGCAGCACAGGTGCCGCGCATCATCCGCACTGCCGCTGCTGCCACTGGGGGAGGGGAAGAAGAGAGGGGTGCGGGGGAAAATGAGGGGGAGGGGGGCGTGGGGAAAGGGGCGAGGGAGGGCGGAGGGGAGGGGGAGGCGGATGTGGATGAGGAGGCGATGGCTTTGGCGCTGTGCAATGTGCTGGCAGGATGCTGCCTCTCCATCGGTGAGTCGCACCATGCCACGTGCTGCCTCTCCATCGGTGAGTCGCACCATGCCACGTGCTGCCTCTCCATTGGTGAGTCGCACCATGCCACGTGCTGCCTCTCCATCGGTGAGTCGCACCATGCCACGTGCTGCCTCTCCATCGGTGAGTCGCACCATGCCACTGGCCTGGGTGCCGGGCTGTGGGCAGGCTGAGTAGGGTTTGGGGATAGACAATGTGTGGATGGGGGATGGGGTGTGATAGCGTGCAGGGAAGGACATGGTGCAAGTCTGCATGTGTCTATTCACCGTCGCACCTTCCCTCCACCCACGATTGCACCTTCTCCCACTGCCACACTTTCCCTCCTGTCACACCTCCATCCTCCCACCCTTTTCTTCTCTCGCTGCCTTCACTCCACCTCCTCACGTGTCTTCACTCTGTCTTTCCGTCCCCCATCTCTGTCTCCTCCCCTCTCCCCCACACAGGGCTGCGCTATGCAGGTTCAGCCAATGGTGAAGCAGAGAAGCTTCTCCGAAGCTACGCGCTGCTGTTCTTCTTCCTCCGAGAGGTGAGAGGCACGCGGAGAGGTGAGAGGCACGCAGAGAGGTGAGAGGCACGCAGAGAGGTGATTAGCGCTTGGGATATGGGCTGTGGAGGGAGGAGGGCGATGGTAGAGGAGGTGGTGCCAAGAAGGGCATTTTCCATATGTGTGCTTCCAAGAATCATGCCCATGTGTGGTGCATTCACTCTCTGCTCTTTTCTTCCCTCCCCTTCCTATCTCCCTCACCCCATCCCCCTCATCCCACCCCCCTCACTCGCCCCATCCCCCTCCCTCGCCCCATCTTCCTCTCCCCATCCCGCCCTCACTGCAGCGCCGTCCCCTCACGGCCGTGGCCTGCCCGTTCGCCGTGCCGCTGCTGCACTGGCGGGCGCTGCTGGACGCGTGCACCCTTGACACCGCTGTCAACGCTGCCGTGCTCTCCCTCTCCCTTGTATGCTCTGCTGCTGCCCCTCCTACACTCTGCTCTCCCTCCTACACTTTGCTCTCCCTTCTACGTTCTGCTCTGCTCTCCCCAACCCACTCCCCTTTCTCGCTACACAATCGTGCCCCTTTCCTTTCTCCCTGTTCCATACCCACGTTCTGATACTTCCTCTCTTCTTTCCTGCCCCAACACCGCTGTCAGCGCTGCCGTGCTCTCCCTCTCCCTTGTACGCTCTACTGCCTCTCCTTCGCTTTGCCCTCCTTCGTTCATTCTGCTCTCCCTCGCCCTCCTACACTTTGCTGTTCTCCCCAACCCACCCTTCCTTTTTCAACACTCTCTTGCTCCTGCCATTTATCCATGTTTTCTTCTTCCATTCTTTTCTTCCTTCTCTGTTCGTAACCACTTCCCTCACCTCCCACTCAACTCCTCCCCCTTTCTCCCCATCTCATCCTGCCAGGTCATGGCAGGAACGGGCCATCTGCCGTCGCTGCGTCTGCTGCGTTTTTTCCACCGTCGCACCGCTGCTGCTGCCGATGCCGCTGCTGTCAACGCCGCTACCACCTATGGCTCACACATGGCGGTATGCTGCATGGCATGGCAGTCTTGGGCTGCATTGTGGTAATCTCATGCATAGGATGGGCCTGAGGCCACTACCAGCATCTGAGAGTGCAAAAGTACCGCTGCTGCCCCTGCTCCTCCCTTGCCCTCACTTCCTTCAATCCTTCCCTCTCCCAATATCCTGCCACCTCCAATTGTAACTCCACCTCCCCCTCTCCTCCCCCTCTCAGGTGAGCATGGCAATCGGTTTCCTGGGCCTGAGTGCCTGCCAGGCCACCTTCTCCACGTCGCCCCCTGCTGTGGCGGCGCTGCTGCTCGCGCTCTTCCCGCACTTCCCCTCCTCGCCCGCCGACCACCGCTGCCACCTGCAGGTAAGCTGCTCCTTGCTGTGCCATGCGGCAGTTGTGTGGTGTGTTTGGAAGGGCAGGCGACAGGCGGCTGTGAAAGGAGTTTGGAAAGTAGAGGAGGTGGACGAGAGAAAGCAAAACAAGGAAACAAGGGAGCAGGGGGAGAGCAGGGGGGTATGGGGCAGTCGTTTTGTCACAAAACAAGGGCACTAGGTGGGGATTGTCAATTCATGAAGAAAAGGCAAGGAGGGAGGGAGGAGGCTATTACTATTTGGCTCAGCTGCTGTCGCTTGAAATTTTCCGGGTGCACCAACTGCCCTGCCAATCTTATGGCCCTGACTTGCTGTTAGGGTTGGAGCTCTCACCTCTCAGCCCCTGGAATAGGGAGGCTTGAGCGATAGAGTCAGATCAGAACATTAAGGTGCATTGCAAACAATGCTTTCCCTTCTTCCCCTCTCACACCTGTCTGCCTTCCTCACCCCTCACCCCTCTCGTCCCCCTCCCCTCTCGTCCTCCTCCCCATTCCCCCGTCTCCTCTCCCCCCCCCTCACCATGCCAGGCGTTGCGGCATTTCTGGGTGCTGGCGGTGGAGGAGAGGGCGTTCGTGGAGGCTGTGGATGTGGACACGTGGCAGCCTGTCATTGCTCCACTGCACCTCACCCTCAAGCCCTCTGACTCGTCCACTCCAACCGCGCTGTCGCTGCACACGCCGTGCCTGCTGCCGCCGCTGCCTCAGGTGCTCTCTCATTCGCCTCAGGTGCTCTCTCATTCGCCTCAGGTGCTCTCTCATTCGCCTCAAATGATCTTTCCACTGGGTTCAGGTGCTGCTCTTGCTGCAGGTGTTGAAGAAAGGCAGCTCTGGGAAGCAAGCACACATGGGATGTACACATGCCCTCCAACTAACTCACTATGCCACGCTGCCATGCCTCTTCTGCTGCCTGCTGTCACCCCATCCTTCCCTCTTCTGCTGCCTGCTGTCACCCCATCCTTCCCTCTTCTGCTGCCTGCTGTCACCCCATCCTTCCCTCTCCCTGCCGCCCCCACCTACCGCCTCACTTTCTGCCTCCCTCTCTTTCCTCCCCATCCTTCCCTCCCCGTTCCCCCACTCCCATCAGCTGAGGGAGCTGCGGCTGTGTGGCGGCAACTTCTGGCCGCTGCGAGTGGCAGCGAGGATAGCAGGTCTGTGCCCATGCGAGGATAGCAGGTCTGTGCCCATGCGAGGATAGCAGGTCTGTGCCCATGCGAGGATAGCAGGTCTGTGCCCATGCGAGGATAGCAGGTCTGTGCCCATGCGAGGATAGCAGGTCTGTGCCCATGCGAGGATAGCAGGTCTGTGCCCGTGTGGTGTGCATGGAGCATGCATGTGCTGTGGCAGGCAGTATGGGGGCATGCATGTGGTGTGGCAGGCAGCATGGGGGCATGCATTTGGCGTGCATGTGGCATGCATTTGGCGTGCATGTGGCATGCATACAGCATGCATGGGGCATGTATGTGGCATGCATGTGGGTGGCTTGCGTGGTTGCATGGGAAATGCCATGTGGCATGGTGCGAGTGGTTGCATGGGAAATGCCATGTGGCATGGTGCGAGTGGTTGCATGGGAAATGCCATGTGGCATGGTGCGAGTGGTTGCATGGGAAATGCCATGTGGCATGGTGCGAGTGGTTGCATGGGAAATGCCATGTGGCATGGTGCGAGTGGTTGCATGGGAAATGCCATGTGGCATGGTGCGAGTGGTTGCATGGGAAATGCCATGTCGCATGGTGCGAGTGGTTGCATGGGAAATGCCATGTGGCATGGTGCGAGTGGTTGCATGGGAAATGCCATGTGGCATGGTGCGAGTGGTTGCATGGGAAATGCCATGTGGCATGGTGCGAGTGGTTGCATGGGAAATGCCATGTGGCATGGTGCGAGTGGTTGCATGGGAAATGCCATGTGGCATGGTGCGAGTGGTTGCATGGGAAATGCCATGTCGCATGGTGCGAGTGGTTGCATGGGAAATGCCATGTGGCATGGTGCGAGTGGTTGCATGGGAAATGCCATGTGGCATGGTGCGAGTGGTTGCATGGGAAATGCCATGTGGCATGGTGCGAGTGGTTGCATGGGAAATGCCATGTGGCATGGTGCGAGTGGTTGCATGGGAAATGCCATGTGGCATGGTGCGAGTGGTTGCATGGGAAATGCCATGTGGCATGGTGCGAGTGGTTGCATGGGAAATGCCATGTGGCATGGTGCGAGTGGTTGCATGGGAAATGCCATGTGGCATGGTGCAAGTGGTTGCATGGGAAATGCCATGTGGCATGGTGCGAGTGGTTGCATGGGAAATGCCATGTGGCATGGTGCGAGTGGTTGCATGGGAAATGCCATGTGGCATGGTGCGAGTGGTTGCATGGGAAATGCCATGTGGCATGGTGCGAGTGAGGTGGGTCGTACGTACCAAGTGCGTGTGCGTCCCTGTATTGTATCCCCCCCCTACGTCCCATTCCTCATCAGTGTTTTTCCTTTGCCTTTGCTCCTTCCTCTCTTTTTCCAATTCTCCTTGCGCTCCTGTCGTCCTCACTTCTGCCCAGTTATGATTTTTTTTTTCTCTTCCCTATATCGCACACACACTTCTGACCTCCATTAATGACTCTACTCCCTCCGCTGCTCCGTTCTGCTCTCCTCTCCTCCCCCACTGCAGACTCTTCCCACCCGTCCCTGCGAGCCATGAGGGGGAGGCGGCGAGGGGGGCATGGTGCAGTCGCTGCAGGGGGGGGTGGGGGGCGGAAGGCGGTGGGGAGCGCAATGGGAGCGGGTGTAGGTGGGGAGGGCAGTGGGGGCCGGCACCTGGTGCTGCTGGTGAAGGGGCGGGGGGCACAGGCTGGCAGCGGTGGGGGTGCTGCAGCAGTGGGCAGGACAGGAGACCCCAGGTCCCGCATGGGGGAGGTGAGCGATCATGTGCGCTTGCATGCTCCCTGCCCCGCTCACTGCCCCTTCCCCGCTTTCCCCTTCATTACAGCACTTGAGACTTGCAATCTTCACTCCCACAACACAGCCTTGGCCTCTTGCATCCAGCTAGTGCTGTCTTGCATCCAGCTAGTGCTGTCTTGCATCCAGCTAGAGCTGTCTTGCATCCAGCTAGAGCTGTCTTGCATCCAGCTAGAGCTGTCTTGCATCCAGCTAGAGCTGTCTTGCATCCAGCTAGAGCTGTCTTGCATCCAGCTAGTGCTGTCTTGCACCCAGCTAGTGCTGTCTTGCATCCAGCTAGAGCTGGCTTGCATCCAGCTAGAGCTGTCTTGCATCCAGCTAGAGCTGTCTTGCATCCAGCTAGAGCTGTCTTGCATCCAGCTAGTGCTGTCTTGCATCCAGCTAGTGCTGTCTTGCATCCAGCTAGAGCTGTCTTGCACCCAGCTAGTGCTGTCTTGCATCCAGCTAGAGCTGGCTTGCATCCAGCTAGAGCTGTCTTGCATCCAGCTAGAGCTGTCTTGCATCCAGCTAGAGCTGTCTTGCATCCAGCTAGAGCTGTCTTGCATCCAGCTAGAGCTGTCTTGCATCCAGCTAGTGCTGTCTTGCACCCAGCTAGTGCTGTCTTGCATCCAGCTAGAGCTGGCTTGCATCCAGCTAGAGCTGTCTTGCATCCAGCTAGAGCTGTCTTGCATCCAGCTAGAGCTGTCTTGCATCCAGCTAGTGCTGTCTTGCATCCAGCTAGTGCTGTCTTGCATCCAGCTAGAGCTGTCTTGCATCCAGCTAGTGCTGTCTTGCATCCAGCTAGAGCTGTCTTGCATCCAGCTAGTGCTGTCTTGCATCCAGCTAGTGCTGTCTTGCATCCAGCTAGAGCTGTCTTGCATGCATTGGCAACTGCTCTCATCACCTTCTCATTGCCTCCCGCTTTCTCTCATTCTGCAATTCCCTCTCAATCCTTCCTTTCCCCCACTCCCCCATCATCCCTTCCCCCACTCTCCCATCATCCCTTCCCCCACTCCCTCATCATCCCTTCCCCTACTTCCCCCATCATCCCTTCCCCCACTCCCCCATCATCCCTTCCCCCACTCCCCCATCATCCCTTCCCCCACTCCCCCATCATCCCACTCCCCCATCATCCCACTCCCCCATCATCCCACTCCCCCATCACCCTTCCCCCTTCTTTCCCCGCCCTTTGCCGTCCCGTGCATCCCTGGCCATCTCTCCCTCCATCCCCTCTGCCCTGCATACTCTCCTTTCCCTCACTTATTCTACATGCCCCTCCTACCTTGCATGACCACGCACCCCTATACACTCTGCACACCCACCTCTTTCCCCCCCCTGTCTCTTTCACCCAACCTCACACCCGTCATCTCACACACGTCCCTCCACACATTCCCCTTGGCCTCGCTCGGCCAGTTGCCGCCCGTCTCAGCGCGGAGCATGGCAGCCGCCCTGCCAGTGGCCGACCCCGTCCTATCCGCCTTCCACCGCCTCTTCTGCCGCCCCCTGCCGCGCTCCGCTGTTCAACCGCATGCAACCTCAAGGTGGGCAGTTTCTCTCCTTCCCCGCACCCACTGCACCCCTAGTTCTGCACCGCTCCACCACGCTGCCACTCCTCTCTCGTCACACCACGCCTCCATCCATCACTCATATTCACAGCCTCCCTCTGCTCTCACCCAGTTTGCTCTTCATACACGTCCATATGTCCTACTTCTTGTGAGAAAACTGAATGATAGGTTGATCAAGAAAAATGGGGGGATACATAGGTGAGGAGATGGAAAGTAGTTGGGCAATGGGCGTGGCTCAATCATTGGTCCCCGCAACAAGTTGGGGTCCACAATAATTGAGGGGCCCAACCATTTTGGAGCACAATGTCGGAGCCTAGGTTTGACCGAACCCTTTAATTTAGGATAATTACTAGCTATACACCCAAGATGATTCCGGATGTTAATAGCTAACCAAGTCCCATCGAGTGTGTGTATGATACATGATGGGGCTGATTCTAACACTTCCGCCCACCGGCCTTTGGTCTCACTGCCCTCCCTCCCTCCCCCATCCACATGCAGCCATGAGGGCTTCTCATCGGCTTGCCAGGCAGCGCTGCTCATGGCGCACGCAGCGGAGCAGCCGGAGCTGCTGGAGGTGAGCACTCCACACCACATTGCACCACGCCACACCACACTGCTCCTTGTGTGTGCCTGGATTCTATCAACTCAATTCAACTACTGTGGCGGTGATCAGATGTGTGTGGGCTTAGTTGTACAACATTCATTCTCCCACGTGCCCTCTCTCTGCCCCCACCTCCCCCCGCCAGGTACTCCTCTCTCTCGCCACCACCTGCCAGGCCGTGCGCTCGCTGCATCACTCGCACACCACCTGTGGCTCCGCACTGCCCTGCCTCGTCTCCTCCTTCCAGGTGACCTCCTCCTGCCTCTCACCCGCAACTTCATTTCCCTCCACACAGCCTTGCAAAGCCGAGGGTCAAGGGGCGAGTTGTGGCATCGCTGGCACATCAAGCACCGTAACAGTGGCGTATGGCAACACGATGGAATTCCATCGCAGGCACCTTGAGCCGTAGCCTCGATGGAATTGGACCAAAGGCACCTTGAGCCGTAGCCTCGATGGAATTGGACCAAAGGCACCTTGAGCCGTAGCCTCGATGGAATCGGACCAAAGGCAGCGAAACAGTGGCGTATGGCAGCACGTGGGCTCTGGTCGTTTCTCAGCTTTCAGGGCCCAGGGCACGGGCTCCGAGCATGCGTGGCCCTGTGCTTTTGCCTCAATGTCACTCCTTTCCGTCCCACGCTTCTCCCCATCACACTTCACTTCTCCCCTTCTGAACAGTCTGGGCCCGTTTGAAAAGTGACGAGTTGTTCGCCTTGAATCCACCCGTGCCTGCCCCCACCCCCCACCTTCCCACACCTCGCCCTGATTACGTCATCCCAGGTGTTGGAAGCCTTCATTCCATCGCTCCGTGCACTCTCCTCGCCCACCCTTTCCCACCGTGCCAGTCCTCCCCAATCGCCCATCGTGAGCCCGCTGTTTCTCCGCTCCCTCTGCTCCACCCTCCACCGTCACCTGCTTGCACCCGCTCACCGCACCCGCTCTCACTCAACCTCGCCCCTCCTGCGCCAACACCTGGAAGACTACTCCCGCCGGGCCCTGCTCCTGTGGCGGCAACAGGAGCAGCAGGCATCAGACTTGGCGGGGGCAGCAACAGCAGCAGAAGCATCAGGCAGCATGAGCAGGCCATTGGCAGATACCACGCAGGAGCAACCAGGCAGTCAACTCTTCCCGCTCATCCTCCTTGCGTTTGCCTTCCCCTCTCCACTCTCTCTGGGCCGCGCCCTGCACACGGCTATGGCCTCGTGCTCCCCACCTGCCTCTGCCGCTTCCACTCATGCACCACTCTCCCCGCCCCTCCCGCTACCGCTGCTGCTGGCGCTCCTCCTCCCGCATCTGCGGCAGCACTCAGCTGTCATGGCAATGCTGCTGGAGGTTGTACAGAACTTGAGATAGTGTCATTCAAGCAGGGATGTTTGTGTTTAAAGGACACATCCAAAATTACCGTGTCGGCCCCATAACTGTCACCACTTTCATGTGACTGGTCGAAAGTTTTGAGTGGGTTTTTTACGCGATTGGTTCTCGATTTTCCCACCAAACCTCCTTCTGGGATTTTCCGAACCTACAATTTTTTCGTTGACTTCGTTGTGTAATTCGGGGTGTGGCCCAGGGCTTATTTTTTTATTTTTACTACTCTGAATTTCCAGAGTTGTTTTTTTGGGATTTCCAGAGTTGTTTTTTTGGGAACTCTGAGTTCGTGACCGTGGGGATGACATGTCAACATGGCAGTGTCAACATGAAGCGCGCGGAATTTAGAGCGTCAAGCACTGTAGCTTCAGTGTCAAAACGAAACGCAACACAAAATCCTGCGACGCAACTTTTAGAATAGGAATGCAACGGAATGATCGAAACTAGAAAGTGTGAGAGTACAAATATGCAACCCTAACAACTGTACTCCCTATTGTGCTACTCATTGTAGCCTACAAGCATAGAATTACATTTGACACACCCCCATAGGCTAAGTGAGGGGCATCAAAGCAAGCAAGGTGAACAAACGGTCACAAGACCAGTCAAAGCAAGAAGCAAGGCAAGCTCAGGGTGGATCTCAAGGACACCACACAAATTCCGAGCGCAAGCAAGCGGCCACAAGGCCAGTTCAAGAGTTCACTAGGATATAAATAGGAAGCACAACAAGCAGAGCAAACAACAAGACTGCAGCAACCGAGGGCCTACCTCAACAAGCCCCAACTGCACACAGAACCTGTGGTGATCACCAAGCGCCAAGGCCTTGGTGAAGACGTCTGCAGTGTTGGCCTCTGAGGCCACAAAGTCCAGGCGTGCCTGGCCGCGTCGCTGCAGCTCTCGCAGGAGGAAGCACCTCACGTCAATATGCTTCACTCTGCTCTCCAGTCGAGGCTCTTGACACAGGAGGATCATGGCCTTGTTGTCAGCGTACAAGGTCGGTGCAGAGCGAGGCCGCTCACCAAGGTCGGCGAGCAAGAAGGTCAACCAGCGAAGCTCCTGTGCCGCCATGGCACCAGCGTAGATCTCTGCCTCTGCACTGGAAGTAGCCACAGACGACGACCGTGTAGACCTCCACGACACAGCACCAGCTCCCAGACTGAAGCAGTAACCCTGAGTCGAGCGCTGAGTCTCCACGTCGTCAGCGTAGGAAGAGTCGCAGTGACCAGTCAACGCCACTGGCTGAGTCCCTCCAAGCACAAGCCCCATGCCTGATGTAGTCGCCAAGTACTTCGCCACCCTCACAGCAGCTGTCCAGTGGACAGGACGGTGTCTCCCAGTCGCAACAAAGCGAGAGAGGATGCTGAGGGGAAAGGCGAGGTCCGGCCGAGTACAAGTCATCAGGTACATGAGGCAACCCACAAGCTCTACGTAGGGACCACTGGGCTCAAAGGGCTCGTCAGGAAAGGGGCCAGTGAGTCGGTGGTCAACAGCAAGAGGAGTGGGTTGTGCAGTGGAGAACTGGAAGTCGAACCACCGAAGGACCTGCTGCACCATGTGTGACTGCATCAGTGTGATGGTGCGAGCGGCTCTGTCCCTGGTGATCTGCAGGCCAAGGTAGCGCTGCAGCTCACCCAGGTCAGTGCACTTCTGTCTCTTCTGCAGTTCAGACTTCACCTGAGCCAGGGCTGCCCTGCCTGCGGTAGGAAACACCAAGTCGTCGACGTAGACAAGGATAAAGAAAGGAGTAGAACCCGCTCGAACAAACAACGACGGGTCGGCGGAGGACGGGCTGAACCCAAGGTCACGAAGCGTGGAGCGAAGAGTGTCGTGCCACTCACGGGGCGACTAGCGGAGACCGTAGACTGGTCGCCTCAGGCTCCACTGGGTCCCAGGTGGGAAGGTGTCAGTGAAGCCAGGAGGATGGCGCAGCCAGATCTCCTTGTGCAGTCGGCCCTGGAGGAACGCAGTGGAGAAGTCGAGGGAGTGCAGCTCGTAGTCTCGCTGCGCTGTTATGTGGAGTAGCACCCGAAGAGTAGTCATCTTCGAGGTCGGGGCGAAGGTCTGGAAGAAGTCAACTCCCTCACGCTGACTCAAGCTCCTAGCCACGTAGGGCGCCTTGAACACCGGCGGTGCTCCAGGCGGCCGCTTCACCTTGAAGAGCCACATGCCATCGACTACGTTCGCCCTGGGAGGGGGAACTGCGTCGACGTAGGTGCCTGTGGATCTCCAAGACGCCAACTCTGAGTCCATAGCCGCTTTCCACTGAGAGGCCCACGCCCCTGACACTTCCTCGCGGTAAGTGCGAGGAGTCGGTATGTCAAGGGCGTCGGGGTCTCTCTCAGGGGAGAGCAGCATGGCACACACAGAGAGAGAAGCGGCTGCCCAGTACTCCAGCTCAGACTCTCTGTCCTCTACGACGTCACAGCCAAGGGCAGAGGACAGAGGACAGACAGACAGAGGACGGGAGGGAGGAGCTGGCACCACAGGGGTGGCGTAGTCAAGGCGGCTGGCGGCAGCAAACTCAGCGACAGCGGCAGTGAGAGCCGAGGCAGACGACGGAGGGAAACGAGAGTTGGTGACAAGAGTGACGAGGACACGTGCGGCAACAAGACGAACAGCGCGGTAGTAGTCAGAGATAGGAGTGGGGAGGGTTGTGAGAGAGGACGGAGGAGGAGATGGGAGAACAGACACAGGAGAAGGAGAACGACCACGAGACGAACAAAGGAGGGCAGTGTGGAGGTCAGTAACAGGGGACGAGTGACGAGCATGCAGAGGACAACTGGTGATCAAGTCGCGACGGACAGAAGGAGGAGGAGACTGAGGAGGAGGAGGAGACCAGACCGCCGGATGGTCGTCAAGAGGAGGCAACGGAGGAACAAACACAGGAGGAGACTGGGAGCGGACAGGAGGAGAGGAGGAAAGGCCAAGGGCCCGCAGGCCACTCACAGGTGGGAACAACTGCCGCTCCAGAGGAAGCTGTGGAAGCGCCTGCGGCTGCCGCTGCTGCTGCTGCCGCTGCAGCTGCAGCGACGGCTGCGGCTGCTGCTGTGGCTGCTGCTGCTGCTGTTGCTGCTGCTGCTGCTGCTGCTGCTGCTGCTGCCTCTGTTGCTCCAAAAGGTCCAGCACCTGCAGCTCCCGCCGCTCCCTCTCCAACCGCTCCTGCTCCTCACGCTCACGCCGACGGGCAGCCTGGAGACGCGTGTCGTGGCGGTGGGGAGGCGGAGTGGACTCCGCAGAACCAGGGTCTCCAGCTCCAGTCTCCTCAGACTCGGCACCCCCAGAACCAACACCTCCAGTGTCAGGACCCCCAACTCCAGCACCCCCAGAACTAGCACCTCCAGCGCTAGCACCTCCAACTCCAGCACCCCCAGCTCTAGCACCCCCAGAGCTAGCGCCACCTGCACCAGCCCCTCCAGCTCCAGCACCCCGCAAACGAGCACCCCCAGACCGCGCACCACCAGCGGCTGCACCTCCAGCTCCAACACCAACCAAGTCCACAGGAACCTGTCGCGGAAGTGCCGAAGGCTGCTAAGGGGACTGTGAGGAGGACTGCGGGGAGGCAGACGCTACCTGACGCGCGACCAAGGGTAGAGGGGTAGCGTGGGACACACCAGACGGGGCAGGACCAGGGGGGGGAGGGGGTACCGGAGGAGCAAGAGCAGGAGGAGGAGAGGGTGCCAGGAAAAGGGGGGGAGGGGGTAGTAGGACACAGACTCGTCAAACCGGACGTCACGGGAGTCTAGGATCTGGTGGAGGGGCGGGTGGTAAAAGGACCAGTCGGCAGAGTCCACTGGGAAACCAAAGAAGACACAGGGGACGGGGCGTGCCGAGAGCTTGTCCGCAGAGGTGTCGCGAACAAGCGCAAGGCAGCCCCAGACTCGAAAGGCCGACCCAACACCAGGGGAACCAGTCCAAAGACTGGTCGGTGAAGCCTCGGGCCGCGAGACACGCGGCTGGAGGTTCAGCTGGTGTGCGGCGTAGCGAACCGCGTAGGGCCACAGAAAATGGGGCGCACGGGCATGGATCATGGACGTGCGGGCAATGTCCATGACCAGGCCCATGCGGCGCTCAGCAACCCCATTCTGCTGTGGGGACTCTGGCAGCGTCCAGGACTGTGTGATGCCCTGTTTGCAGCAGAATCCGCCGAGAATGCCGGAGCGAAACCCGCCCCCACGGTCTAAGTGGAGACAACTGACTCGATGACCACGAGTGCCCTAAGTGGCTAGAAGCCACCTGATCAGCGTAGCAGTCACCTCGGACTTCTTCGCAAGAGGGAACACTGTGGTGTACCTAGAGAAGTTGTCGACGACCACCAGAAAGTAACGCTCCCTCCCAGACCCCTACGTCGGGGTAGGGCCCCAGACGTCCAAGTGGAGAGTCTCGAAGGGGGCAGTGGCCGGACGAAGGGAGGAGGAGTGGGGAGTGGCGCGTAAGCGACCGGCGACGCACGGAGAGCAAGGAGGGGCAAGCGAGGGAGGGAGCGACGGGAAGGTGCGTGGGAGACCTGTGACAAGTCCCTGACTGAGGATGCCACGAAGGCGAGGGATCGACGGGTGGCCAAGGCGGTGGTGCCACAGGACGGTGGGGTGGGCTAGAGAGCGACAGGAGCAAGACGCAGCGACTGGACTGGACACAGCGACCGGACCGGACGCGACTACTTGGCTAGACACCGCAACTGGACTAGGGACCTGGGCAGGAGGGGACGCAACGACCTGAGGGGAGGACACGACCGGGGAGCGCTCGGTGTGGAGAACGTAGAGACCGGAGCGGGGCTCCTTGGTGAACGTGGCTAGAACAGCACCTGTGGTAGCGTGTGTACAGACTGCAGTCCGCCCACCCCCCACGAAGGTAACCGTGATCCCCCTGTCCTGGAGGTATCCAACACCCACCAAGTTCTGAGTGAACGAGGGGATGTGGAGGCCGCGCAGGACACCAGAGAGGACCACAGGGCACGGGAGGGTGGTGGAGCTACGCGCAACGGCTGGTCCAGAGGTAGGATCAGCCAGAGCTACTGACACAGGAGTGAGGAGTGGCGTAAGGGTCGTGTGGTCGCGGAAGAAGCACTGAGACGTGCCCGAGTCCAGCGGGAACGACAGAGAGGCCTCAGCCGGAGGGTCACCTGACCCAGTCGCTACACAAGCACCTAGAGCAGCAACACAAGCACCTAAGCTAGACAGGCACAAGGCTACACTAGCAGGAGGCAAGCAGGCTAAACTACGAACACGTGAGCACACAGATCCCTCAGCACTAAAGTCAGCATCAACATACAAAGCATGCTGACGCGCATCGTCCATGGACAAACGAAAGACATCATTCTTACGGGTTACCAGACGAGACCAGCGAGGCGTGACCGCCAAGGGGCCCCAACGAGCCCGGTAGAGGTCGTCGAGGCGGCAGAAGCACCGCGCGGCAGAGTGGTCGCCGCGACCACAGAGACAGGGGCTGCCCGGCCCAATGAGGCACTAGTGGGTGCAGGGGCCAGCGTCACGGCGAGGGGGGCGAGGGGCCCAGCTGGAAGAGCTGCTGCTGCGGCCAGTGCTCTCAGGGCCTCCCGGACCCCACTGCGGCGGGGGACCCAAGTGCTGCTGCGGACCCCACTGCAGCGGGGGCCCCCACTGCTGGAACTGCTGCAGTGTCTGCTGCTGTTGCTGTCCCTGCTGCTGCTGCTGTCCCTGCTGTGGCTGGTGCTGCTGTGGCTGCTGCTGCTGGGGGGCAGCACCCCCACCGGTCGGGCCACCACCTGTGGGTGGACCTGTCTGTCCTGCGCCTCCTCCGAGGCCCCCTCCCCCTGGTGCACCACCGCCGCCGCCGCCGCCGCCTCCACCACCACCGCTGCTCCCACCTCCACCGCCCCCTCCACCGCCACCTCCTCCGCCCCCACCTCCCCCCTTCCCGCCCTTCTTGCCACTCTTGCCCCGTTTCTGCCAGTCTACGGCAGAAATGGCAGCGGTGTCCTCAGAGACCGACACAGCAGCAGAAGCGCGGGTAGCGGTGAAAGTGGGAAGCTGAGGGGCGGCACACCCCGCAAAGAGACGGGGGGCCACCGCATCAGTGGCGGAGGCAACGGTGAGGAGGCTGTTCTCGATGGTCCCGAGAGCAGTCTGAAGGAGGTCTATAGTGAGTTCAGTGGGGTGCTTCTGAAGAAGCGCGTCGCGGGCAGTGGCAAGGCGGTCAGGGAGGCGGGTGACTAACCAGTGCACAGTGAGCCACATGGGGGGGGGGGGGCAACAAGGAGTTGTGCGTCGGTACAGGCCGAACGAAAACCGGCGTCAAGCGAGCGGAGGAGAGTCACTAGGTCGGAAACAGTCGCAAACGAGCCTAGGTCGGGAAACACGAACGGCATGAGGAGGCGACTGAGGGAGGCAGAGGAGGGGGTGGAATAGCAAGCCACAATAGCATCCCAAACCCCCTTGGCTGTCTCCACCTGGTCAAAGTGAGCAGCCTCGGTCGGGGGGAGAAGCTCCGATAGCGTGAGGGCGGCGGCCGCGTCACGAGAGAGCCACACGTCCCGAGCCAAGACCCGACGGTCGTAGTCCGCCTGGGCCGTAGGAGTCGGCTCCGGGGCGGTCGGCAGGGCGACGGGGGACGGGGGCGCCGCGAGAGCACCCGACGCGTGGGCCCATAGAGTAGCGCCGTCCTGACGCTGGCTGGTGAGGAAACGTGTGGTCTGGCGCTGCCAGGTACTGAACTCGATCGGGCGTCCCTCAGCATCGAAACGGAGGCGACGGGCCTCCATAGCGGAGCCCATGCTAGAGGCGACTGGAGCACGGCGGAGGCGGAGCTAAGAACGAGGAGGAAAACTACGGAGGGCTAGGGACGCCAGCGGGGAAACTGACGAGAGACAGTCGGCGAGAAAATAGTCGTGGGGCGGGGCTCTAACCGAACCTAGGTGGCGCTACCGGAGAAAAAAGCGGCTGCCAGCCGCTGAGCCGGGAGCCAAGTGCAGGAGGAATGGCGTGGGACCGATGCACAGGTGAAGGGGAGAGAGATGCAGTAAGCGCACAGAGTGATGCGGTAAGTGTACGCAGGTGTGCGGTAAGCGCACGCAGGTGTGCGGTAGGTGCACGCAGGTGTGTGGTAAGTGCACGCAGGTGTGCGGTACGCGCACGCAGGTGTGTGGGAAGCGCACACAGAGTGATGCGGTAAGTGCACGCAGGTGTGCGGTAAGCGCACGCAGGTGAGCGGTAGGTGCACGCAGGTGTGGGGTAAGTGCATGCTGGTGTGCAGGAAGCGCACGCAGGTGTGCGGGAAGCATTGACGGAGGAGGGCGCGCGACAGGTCTAAGGAGGGCGCGCGACGGTTGAGGAGGGCGCGCGACGGTGAGGGGGAGGGCGCGCGGCGGTCTAAGGAGGGCGCACGACGATTTTGGAGGGCGCGCAACGGTGGAGGAGGGCGCGCGACAGGCTGGACAGCGCGGGAGGGGCGCGGGCTAGGCACGAGGAGGGCGCGGAGGGAGCGGAGGGCGTGGAGGGCGCGAGAGCACGGAGGGCGCGTAGGGCGCGTAGGGCGCGGAGGCTAGCTAAAAACGAACGCGGATCTAACCTACTCGTGATACCATCTTAGAGTAGGAATGCAACGGAATGATCGAAACTAGAAAGTGTGAGAGTACAAATATGCAACCCTAACAACTGTACTCCCTATTGTGCTACTCACTGTAGCCTACAAGCATAGAATTACATTTGACAGCAACCTATTGGTTGGGCACAAATTTGTTGCAAGACCTTGCAGTCTTACAAAACTTTATATCCACACGCGACTCAAGACCTTGCAGTGGTACAGGACTTTACATCCGTTGATTGGGCAGGTGTGGGTAGAAAGGATTCTCGATCCTACCAGTTAATTTGGCTAGATGGAAGAACACGATTTGCAGAGCGGGATGTCCGACTAAATTTACTGGCTGGCAGTTTTCATGTTGTTGACACTCTGCCAACAATGTTGGCAAGTGTCAAAACCAGAAGTTGACACTCACACGCTTCACATCTCATCCCTACGGACACGACCTGAAATTCAGGGTTGATCATGAGCACTACTCTGATTTGTCAGAGAAAACTTAACTTCAGTCCGTGTATCTACTTGTCCATTCGGGTGTGTCCTGTCAAGTATTGAACCCATGCCTACCGCGCCCCTAAAAGCAATTTGATCGTTGTGCTAACTAGTCACTACGAATTTGGAGTTTAATTTATAAGTTCTCTTGCCATTTTTAACCTGCACAAGGCTGGGGCTCGATCTAAATGCCTATACCCTGTACAGAGAAAAATGCATTCTCCAGAAATTTACACTGGTCTATCAGAGTAGCTAAAATCAAGACCCTGGAAAATCAGAGAAAACTTATCTTCCAAAAAAATTACTCGGCAACGTCAGAGTGACCCCCAAAAAAACCACTCTGATTTTCAGAGAAACAGAGTGATTTACTCTGATAAAAAAACCCCTGGTGTGGCCTTTAACGGAATGATTTTCTTCCCTGGGCTGTTCTTTACCGTAATCCGCGCTATGTAACCCGGTAAATGGGGTGAGAATCATTATCGGTACCAGTCATTGATAGCGCCCAGGCAGGGCTTCAGATTCGTTTTGGGCCACCCTTAGTAATCAGGGTTCTAGGTATACCGTAGTCAACCCTGATGTGTAGGGTACGGTAAAAATCTTGTTTCCCTGACAAAAGCAGGATAAAAAATAAGTCAATTAATTTGGCCAGAACAATGCCTATCAGCACTTAGTGGCTCAGTTTGTTCGATCATAAATAAGATTCGAAATGTCGCTGGATCAGATCTTGCTGTTAGGAGCATTTTGCAGGGGCCAGATAGTGTTTCGTCTCGCTTCGGAGAATTCCGTAACAGTATGACTGAGATCGTATAGTGTACAGTCAGGGAAATGAATTACTTACGCTGTTTTTCGAAGGGTAAAAAAAAACTAAACTTTCTGGCCTAAGGTAAAAAATCCATTACCCTGTCTGTGAAAGGGTAACTGAAAAAAAGTGGCCGCCAGTCAGTACAAAAAGGGTATTTTACCCTGATAACGAGAGCCCTGCGCCCAAGTCCTTCTTGATAGCATGTTTGACCAATTGGAATGGGACAGAACAGCACGCATTTGGATGCCAAAGCATGTATGGTACAAGACCATGCAATGGCAACCTGGTGCCCAGGAGGTGCAAGCTACGATAGTCGCACACAATAGCACACACGCTCTTGCACCCACGGCCATAGGCAGGTTGTCCGCCCGTCATCGTGGAGGCGATTCAGCAGCGTGCTACTTTATGGTGTGGTGCTACTTGCAGAATGTCACTCTGTGTACCATGCATGTTCACTGCAGTGGGTTTCTGTGATCACTACCTACAGACGGTAATACCGCAATCTCCCGGACAAAACACCCCCCCATGATAGTACACCCCCGGGTAGCTTGTGCGGGGTGGGTGCTATGGGCGACCTCGTTTCTACTATACCCCCCTTTTTGGATGATTTTCTATAACACCCCCCTTTTCTTACGGATTCCTATTATAGTTGTTATCGAGTCTGATTCCTTATAGGGGAATATCGCGAGAATTGCTTCCTAAATGAAATTTCGCGCGTACTTGCACTTAGAATCCGCCAACATTTCCCCCTCCCACAATCTCACTGTTGCCACCCTGGCGAATCTTTCGCTGCAAGTGGACATTTCCCCCATCCCACATTCTAGGAAGTTGCCACGCTGGCGAATCTTCCGCTGCAAGTGGCCCGAAAGGTGAAACTCACATTCTTGCCAAAACTCACATTCTCGCCTCAAACTGTGATGTTAAAACGACCATTAAAACACCCCAGGGCCTCAGATTCGTTTTTAGCTTGGCTGATACGTCAGCCTTAGCAGGCTATGCTGGGCTGATCAATCAGAGTTGGTTAAAAAATAAAAACTGAAATTTCAGACTAGTCACAAAAAAAAAAACGCTGACTAATCAGCCTCACTAAAAAACGCAGGCTGAACTGGATTGGTTCTATGTTTAGGGCACGCACATGGATGCAGATTCGGGGTGGGTGAGATGGGGTGAGGTGGGTGTCCTTGTCGTGAGTGCGTGCGGTGCGTTGCTGTGCTGCACTGGTGGTGGGTGATTGGCGCATAAGGGATGTGACAACCAATCACATCAATTAAAGCATTCTGTCGGTGACAACGAAGCACCGACGCATCGGGGAAATTCGTTTTCCCCCGCGTCGGCGCTGTACATGGTGACTTTTGCGTGATTGACAGGTGGATGTACCTGGACAGCCGAAACTCACGGCTCTGGCACGAATCTGTAATAGCGTGAGAGTT